TAATGACAAGAGTCACAATGTGAATGAACATTTTTAGCATTGCAGCTCTTAGATATGACTTCTATCCATCCATTATCTCTACACCTTAATCCTCATTAGGGGGGCTGGAGTCTATCCCAGTTGACTCAGGGTGAAGGCAGGTTCACCTGGACAGGTCACCAGTCTATCATAGGGCTACATTTAGAGACAGACAACCAAGCACACTCACATTCACACCTACGGACAATTCAGAGAGTTTAGACGCTGCACGGGGAGAACATGGAGACTCCACGCAGAAAGATCCTGGGTGTCCTCACCAGGATGTGAACCGGCGACCTTCTAGCTGCAAGGCAACGGTGCTAGCCACTGATCCACCTTGCAGCCCCTTAGATATTTCTTCTAACAGTAAATTTAGTATTTTTACATTCAGCCAGAATACTGCTCACACAGGAGCGGTATAAACAATAAAATAAAACCTAATCAGATCACAGTTTACACAGTGCCAGGAACATAGCTGGTAAATGTAACTTGACACTCTGCAGATCCATACAGCGTGCCGCCAACGATCACCGTCCATTGTGAGATAGTATTCAAGCATCTCTTACAAGGCCAAATAGTGAATTCAGGAAAATCCACGGCTATAGGTATCCAGCGCAGTCAAACAATGTCCTCACGGCGTACAGTATTTTCTCTAAGGCATCATAAATACTGCACTCAGAGCTAATTGAGGCATTTATCATCGAAATCCATCTCGAGAGCCGAGGAACCTTGAGCTGGAAGTGGAGAGTGCTCGTTCACAAGCACTCAGCACCCATGTGTTTGTTTTCGCCTCTATCACTTCAAAGTCACATTGAGTTCCGACTCCCAAATGGCTCTTGATGCTTTGATCTCGCAGCCGAGAGATGAGCTGATACACAAAACCGAGCAATCCTGTTTGCAATCTCAAGGTGATACTCCAGAGCAGGAGAATCTCAAATATTTTTTCAGCATAGGTTAAAAATCCCATTTATGATATATCTCGCCAGTGAGTGGCCCCGATTCTGATGACTGTAACCGAGATAATGAATAATAGAGCGTATACCGTAGGGGACGTGGCAGAAGTTGTAAACCTGCACGACCGGCATAAATAAAATATTTAATGACATTCGTATAGGTAGAAGGCGATGATCTCGATACTACTGCAATCTGTCACACTGCTCGGCTCAAAATAATATTCACGACGATAGAAATGTGATAGCAGACCGAGTCTCTGGTGATTTCTCCGTCGCAGTCTAGACAAATTTAGTCAAGAAGTAGATCGTGTTTCTGCAGAAGACCGTCCATGTGCTGAGAGGCAGGTTTTCCTCAGGTCCAAGCATATTCAAGCAGGTGAATCCAAGTTTCTTAAGACTGAAACACAACATTCAGAGCTGAAACAGGTCAAACTGTGACTTTTACTTTTATTTTTAGTAAAACTGGCCTCTTAAATGTGATTTAATTTGTTCTCGTTTATATCAGTGAAATTATTTGGATTTTAGACTGTTGGTTAGACAAATATGTAAAAAAATGCTGCTCATTTGTTGCTATATTTGATATTTTTTGACATAACTATTAATTTATTAGTGCAGGAAATCATCAGCAGAACCAACACTCTTCACATCTTTGCCGTAAAACAATGAAAAACTGCCTGTGAGGAGTCCTTTTCCAGTCTGACAATGTCCTCGCAGGTTCGGCTCGCAAATGTCAAGCTCCAACTGGGAGTTTAAGTTGAAAGGTCAGAATTAAATCCTCGCTAGCCGGAGATTTCTTATCTTCTCATGCTTGGTGAGGAAGAAATTTGTTATTTAGACACAGACTAAAAAACAAAAAGGTCAGAATTGACTTAAACTACAGCTAATTTGTGTGCAGACGGAGGCAGATGTTACTGCCGAGAGATCCCAGATCAAGGTTTGTTTATTTACAGCCGTGACCCTCAACAGATTGGTTCTCGTGAAAAAACAGGAAAACCAAGATGTAAGAGATAAAAGATAAAATGGTGTAATTACAGTAAAGCAGCGGTGACGGTTGTTTTTATAGTTGAGCTACCTAACGCTCAGGCAAGGAACAAAGTTGGAGTGATGCAGAAATTCTATTAGTCTGGTTTAAAAGGTTTCACCACGCCTTTAAAGGACTTTTATCTAAGATGATGCTGTAATCAACCCAGGAAGGCTCTAAATGAGATTAATAATGTAGATATTAAGACAGCAGAGCCAGCCAGTGTTATTTCACCACCGCTGTCCACTGAAGACCGCCAGCAGTGATGCAGGACTGCTGCATTCGTCTCCAGTGCACGGCTCCTCTCCCGTCTCTCCCCGTCTTCTCCCTGCCTTCGCTTAACCATCCATTTTAACCGTCAGTGACCTCAAAGCGCTGAGGTTTTGGCTGTAGAAATGAGTGGTCTTTCCCAAGTGTACAGTTAGTCGCTGTGCTGCTGGTAACACATCACCCTTCCAACCCACCGACTCCCCTCCTCCTCCTGCTCCTCCTCCTCCTCCTCCTCCTCCTCCTCGGTGGTGGTGGTGCATCACCCCACTCGCTCGCTTTCAATCTCTCCTTCTCTCTCCTTCACTCCCTGGCTTAATATTGATCTGAATTCATTTGTTTCCTATTGATCTGCCACTCCACCCTCTGCCGCATTGAGCAAACACAAGGACACACACCGTGCACACAAAAGCCTAACGGACGCAGCACGTGCGAGTCTCGTACAAAAAAAAAAAAGCACACACGTGCACACGGACGGACGTACGGCCGGAGAATAAAAGGCTAGAAACGCCCATTTACTAACCTGTTATACGTAAGCCGCTTTGAAGGTTAATATGCACGCCGACGCTGCGGGCGGACACACCTGCAATCACACACTCTTGATCCGAGAGATTTCAGAGGCTAGAAAACACGGCGGTTTGGAGAGGTCTCGGCTCAAGCGTTGGCCGAGCTAATGGCATACAAAGGAACCTGGATTCTGTATTGATCCGACTCTTCAGGAGCGAGATGAAAACATGGGCAGCCACGGGCAGGTGACACAATTACAGCCGCAGTTCATTTCTCAGGTTTGCCGATTTGTACCAAGAATCATTAGAACAACAAATGAGAGGAATTCATTTTGAGGGGTGCAGCGAGGTGACGTTAGGGGTGCTAACTGTGTTGTCTTGGAACTATTCATAGACTTTATAGTAAAATTAGCAAATTAAATCTTTTCCAAAACTGTATCACAAGAAAGAATGAAAAATATAATCGTGGGATGCAACAGAGCTAGAAATCACACGTATATGAACCAAGAATCAGAATCAAGGCAGAAAATCAGTGTTTCTGCCATTTGCCAAAGATGACAACTGGCCAGATGTGAAGAAGTGAGAGGAGGTTTCACATGAGCAACACTACGTATGTCTTCCAGTTACTCTCGTGCTTGAACAGTCTCGTCTCTCCCCTCCTTTTAGCTCTTCATTCCCCATTTTCCTGTGGTTTGTTCGTAACACTTCAGATTTCTGACATGGTTGGAGGTCACCTCACATGAACTAGTCCCCTTACTGTCCAATAGCCAAAACCAGCAGGACTGGGTTGTTCTGCCCATGGTTGCTCATCTAGTGTTGTAGTCGAGACCACCTAAACCGAGACCAAGACATGGCTGAGACCACAGTGTATCAAGACTGAGACAAGACCAAGACTTGGAGGGGTCAAGACCGAGTCAAGACCAAGACCAAGACAAAGCGAGACCGAGTCAAGACCGAGACCATACCAAATGTAACTTAACCATTTAATCCAACACTTAGTCAATGTAGTTTTAAGGACAGTGTAAGGCTGCCTGTAATACTTTAAATACTTAATACTTCAAACAAACATTTAATATGGAATCAAACAAATATCATTACTACTACTACTTTTTTTAAAACTCAAAATGAGGTACCTTTTTCTGGACTATTTGTAGCTAAAAATGAACCGCTGCTGCTTTTCTGAGGGCAGCTAAACACAAACTAGAGTGTCCGTGTTGGTGAAGGCCGCCCAGTGTGGCTCACAATGAATGAATGAATAAAATATAGCAGACTTTAGCTTCACAGGATCAATTGGTTTAAATCTTTTGGTGGGATCTTTTGGTGGGCGTCCCTGCCTTCGGTAAGCTGTGATAGGTTGACCAACTTTTCCGCGGGCCCGCCACACGCTCCAAATTTTTGGTTGGTGGCATAAAGTTGCCATGACGCCAGACTGTTTGTCCTGCCCTCTGACCTCCTTTCAGGACGTGCTGTGCTCAGTCAGACTGCATCTCCAGCAGCGGCTTGAGTTCAAAGGGCCGGGAGGAAAGAAGCAAGGGGGAGAGGCTGTGTTTCCTCCCGGTAATATTAGATAAGATGCACCGCGGCCTAAGTGCACGCAGACAGACCTATATATATATATATATATATATATATACATGTAGGGATTAATGAGTGCACGGCAACACAAAGAGCCACGCATCTCTGTCTGTGTTGTCTCTCATCGTGTTGGAGTGTCATAATTATTGCATTTGTTTGGCTGACTGCTGTTTAATTTATGATTTTGGATTGTATTTTCCAACATTATTAATGTATTATTCATCACCATTGTCTTTAACCGTCTCTGCTGTACGTGTATTTTTGTACCACCCTCTCATTCATGCTTTGTTGATGGCACAGTGTTCATTCTCACCATTATCTCCCACTTTGTTAATCCATTTCATACTCGGCACACAATGTAAGATGCTTTCTCCGTCATAAATGCTTGCATTTCTATTCATTTCTTTATGCAGGGATTGATCCATTATGATTTAATTATCTCATCGTATTCATTCATTACTGAGTGCGGGGCAGATTTTTTTTGCTGAAAACATCACTGCTAAACTATGCGGCCTCAACAAAAGGCCAGATAAGGTTGCGTCTGGATGACTGACTTTATGTATTTACATATCCCGACTTCATAGCTCGCTTTGTTTATTGATGTTCCCCTTCTTATCCTGGGGTATGCTAATAATCTGCATGATGCTCCGCTGATTTCAGGAATGCCACGGTCAACCTTGGAAGCTCCCCAGCGAGACGAGAGCCATGGGAAAAAGCTCCAGCTAGATCCTGGTTGGGAGGTAAATGCTTCGACAACATCTGTTTCTTCTGCACTAACAAAGACGCTGAATGTGAAATGAAAGGGAGAGCAAACAGCTTGATAGATCAGAGCCAGTGACAGCGAACGTGGGCTTCGAATATCCAGAGACACAAGCATTTTCATGTCTCCTAGCTTTTCTTCTCTCCTCTGACAGTCTTTCTCCGTCTCCTTCTGTCCCTCTTTTCTTTTCATTATAAAACACAAGTTTGTTCTAATTGTACTGACGCAAAATTGCCGCCACTATAAAGAAGCTGCTTCCCAGCTGGTTTAACACATTCAGAGAGCCGTCGCTGTGTGTTATTCAACATAAGTGCATATGGGACCTCACGTAACTGCCCGCAAGATTACCCTCTTTCTATACGTTTCCAAAAAAAAAAAAAAAAGAGCATTTGAACCAGTCAAAGCTGCCTTACATCATCTGTCACCCACAGAGTCAATCTAGAAGTAAGAAAACCAATTTAAAATGACACATTGGATGCATATAAAAGCCCCCATTATGGAATAAGAACATTAAATTGTTAGTGCGCATCATTTTTTTTTTATTTTTTTCATGCTTAGACGTGCTGTGTGCACTGTACACATTTGTGAACACACACAATCTCCTCTCCTACTCACACACATACAACAACACGTACACACTCACACACTGGCCCACACAACCCAATAGCCATTGACAACAGTGCCCTAGCAACCATTGGGCATCATGCCAAGCCACTGAGGTTGCCTGGTAGTGTGTTCCCATGGTAACGTTTTCTGCCTTTGTAAATAAGGTACGAGGAGAGCGAAAAGGGGGGTTTGGGAGAAATTGCACTACAGAATCTCATTCTATCTTGAGAGAGCTAATAATTTATGGTTTGTGAGTAGCGGATATTATCCCGTATTCTCGCTGAGGAGGTGCATTAGCGTCGGCGGGGGTCTCGGGTCCGAGTCTTCACCACACATGGTCAGACCTGCTTTGGCGGGGGGGGGGGAGCGGAGCATGTGACCCTTGTCTGCTTTGGTGGTGGTCTCTGAAATTGTCCTGTAAGATTTGGTGCAAGAACAGTGATTAAATTAAATGTCTATTTTGGACGTGTTTTCTGAAAATATTTGTCTAATTTGTTTTGCACTCAATTTTTTTCACACTCACTCTATTTTAACTGTGTTTTTATTAGATTTTTTGGGTTTCTTTCGATCAGAAAACAATTACGTCGACCCAAACGGCATGTAGAATCCAGCGGACCGTCGGCAGTCCTTGGTCCCAAGTTGTAGAACCGCTGTCTGAGGCCTGCATTCCTGTTGAGCTGGCTCTTGCCAGTTTATTTGCTGTCACTGGGCAGATTTCGCTCCTCTCTGCCCCTACATGGTTTGGGTGGTGCCGTCGTCTCTGTGCGTCACTTCTCAAAGACAACGAGTGGTGGAGAGCTACCTGAAATCTTTGTTCCATCTTTGACGGCAGAGCCCAAATGTTTTTGGTTTTTTTTGTGTATTTAAAAAAAAAAAAAAAAAAAGTGGCAGAAGCGGCTTGTTGCGAGGCAGATGTGGGCTTGATTTTAGCGATCGCCTCATTAATTATCTCTCCGGTTAGTCAATCATTCACTTTTGTTTTTTTTCTTCCTTTTCTGGATCCCGTGTAAAATTTTACGAGGTCTGTGATGCTTTTCCTTCTCTGATTGTCCGCTGTTGTCGACAAATTTCACTTATTGTTTTTATACATTTTGATGCTTATTGTCTTGATGTTAGCTTTCTAAATCTGAAGACTGATTGTGTCAGAAATAAAAGTACTGAAAGTCCTTCAAAATGGCCTTAAATGTTAGATTTTAAACGCTTACTTTGAATTCCACAACCGTTTCTTTTCCTTGTTTTACTCACATTTCTGTAGAATTTAAATTCAACCACAAACTGGTAGGATGTAGTTATTTTAAATGCTGTTAAGGTGCTCTCTCTTGAAAAGTCTATTATAAATGATGTGCTTTAACTGTTGGTAAAACTTAAATTTAAGCGTTCTTATCAAAGAAACATTTGTGAATATTTTGTTATTATCCTAATTGATAGGGCCATAGTATAAAACCTGAAACTCATGCAATAGATACTCATTTAAAGGGTGTCAGTGCTCAGTTTTGCTTCAGCTATATGTTGAGCATGTGCATAATAATCCATATTCCTCTTCCACATAATGAAGACAGTTATTAAAGGATGTGATAACAACTACTAAAATATAACAAACTTAGTTACCACAAAAAACACTTGTAACTGTCAGTAATTGGCTTTTTGGACTAATAATTCGACAGCCAATTAACTTTTCTGTCGGTTAGTTCTGCCTAGCAACACAGCTGTACCCATGTGGCCATGTTTGGTGTTTAGTTCAACCACATTGGCCAAATGCTTATGTGGTCAGAATTGTGTACAATAATGTTGTTGTATGAGATTAAAACACAAGTACATCGGCTAACACCAAGCAGCTAATGCTGACTTTAGCTACAAGTGGGATAAAACCAACTGGTAGTGCCGCCCGTTTTCCACAGTTTCAGAACCATTTTGGTAATTTTAGGTGGCGCATACCAACGTGGCTTTAAACTTTGCCCCAACACGCATAATTTGTTTTCGCTCTCTCGAGTGGGCGAACCGTAATTCTCACAAAGCTTCACCTGACCCGACACCAGCCGGGGGTTCGCCCTCATAAGCCGCCCCGGGCCTCCGGTTGCAGGGGGGGGGGCTTCCCACCAGACTCACACTGGCAACAAACACGCCCAGGCACATTGGCAAAGAGCTGGCATTGGCACAACCATGCCGCATGCATGCGTGATCCGACTGCGAATGAGAGACGGTGAGAGAGGTTTTAAAAAAAAGGGGGGAGGAGTGGAATCAAGGGGATGAAGGGGGGAAACTTAGTTGGTATGAACAGAGAGATTGTCTGGGAAAAAAAAGAAAAGAGAAAGAAAAAAGTTGTAAAAGATTTTGAGGCATGAAATGTTCAGCGATGAAGGACAAATAAGAGGCACTTGAAGAGGAGGGAGGACGGCCAAAGAAAGAAAACGAAGGGTAGGCGAAGGGTGGGCTTTGGGAATGGCAGAGGGCAGCGGAGAGAGGCGAGGTGAATGGGTTTGTATTTGGAAGCTGGCCAATAAAAAGAAAACAATCTACGTCTCTATTAGGCGTATAGTGCTGCCAAAACATTTCCTTACCTTTAGACGTTAACGCTTAGTTGCCTCGTTTTTCTTTCATGAGTGGTTGTAACTGACTCTACAGACATTCACCTGTGCTGTCCATGTAGTAGCAGCAGTGACTTACCTTTTGAGGAACTAGCATCTTTAAATCCATCTCCGTCGCCAAGGCCACCGAAGTCTTCCACAGCTCAGGTTGTATTTTCGGCGCATTGACCACACGACTGAAAAGAAGGCCTAGCAACTCAGCTGTGTAGCAGCTATCAAGTAATCAATGAGTCCTTGAGGCACACAGGAGCAGTGTCAAAACACAGCCATTGACTGCTAACAACAGCCAATTTGCTGCTTTTGCGGGAGATCACCTCGGCTAGATGTCGAATGTGTGGGTGCGCCCCATTATTTATGGAGTATAATGAGGGAGATTGACTGGATAGTGCTGCTACTCCAAATTGTCATCCAATTACTCACCCATTAGATCTTATTTGCGACGTTAAAAACTGCTCTACGATGCACCAATTTCTGCATTACCCTAAATGCAGCTTATTAAACGGCACAAATCAGCTCAGAGCGTTTTAATGTGCAGGAGTGTCTGACGCCATACTGAGAGCGTGATGAAGGCAAAGTAAACCAGCAAACGTTAACTGGACAGCAGTTGAGATAAACTGGAAATAGAAAGTTTCAAATGCAGAAACTGAGTCACTCCTTTTCCACTCATCCACATCGTTCATGTGCTCATTCATGGTCTATCTACGGCTGTCCGCTCATTTTAAAAGGCTTCATTTCTTGCCTCGCTGCAGCGCTGCTTCACATCTGTGGTACGCTTTGCCCTTGTCGATATAAAAACCTACGGCCAGTATCGATAATCCACCGCCACAAGGTCACACTGCACAAAAGGGTATCCCAAATATAAGATATAAACACAAGTGACTTAAAACTAGTGAAATTATCTGTCCATGCAGCAAGTAAATTTTACTTGATGAGAAATCTTGAAATAAGATTTTTAATGCTCAATTTAAGATTGTACTTTAAAATCAAGGACTAAAAATGAGCAAAACAAGCCAAATTATCTGTTGTGTCTAAAAATAAGACTTTAAATCTTGGCAAGTCCCAGATTGGCCTTTTTAGAAACATGCAGTTTTTCAAGGAATATCTTTATTTTTATGTGATAGTCACAGTGAAAAGCGATAGAATGGGAAAGAACATACAAAAGAGATTTAGGGTTTTTTTTTTAATATATTTTTTGGGCTTTTTTAGAGCAGTAGAGAGACAGGAAAGGGGGGAGAGACCTGCAGCAAAGGGTCATGAGCGGGATTCAAACCCACCACCGTTGCGTCGGGAACCCTGTTCATAGGTCGCCTGCTCAGCTAGGTGAGCTGTAGGGGCACCCAAGAGATTAAGAGTTAACGTCACAGAACACTTTAAAGGAAGCATAAATGATTACAGTTTGCAATTTGCAGATAAGTTTAACATACAGTGTGACTTTTGTTTTAATTAGAATAAAGTGTCAAACTTGTGCAAATAGCACATCCCATGTGGTAAAGTTGGTGAACCCAAGTGTTCGTACCTGTGTGAAAACGCCTGCAGCCTCACAGAGGAATGAGATCCAACAACAGTAATTATAACGAAGCACATTGTCGATCTGTCCTCGAATTCGTGTGGCATTCGTGTGTCGCGCTCTATTGTACGCACAAAAAGAATGGGGGAAAAAAAAACTGCCTGCGATGACAACTGCCTGGCCACAAGGTCGCACAGTCTGTTTTAGAAAATTACAAGCAATTTTTAGACGCTCTCTCCTCGCTGCGTTGTGGATCGAGACAGACAATCCAGCAAGCATTTCATTTACAGGATATTCAGGGGAGTTTAGCCATACTGCACCTTTGTGCAACCACAAGGCGACAACATAAACAGATATAGAAGGACACATACTGTATAGATGAAGATACGAAAGAAAACACTAAATTATGAAGTTTACAATCCAGTGAGAAAATATCACCAAATGTAGTTTCACAAAGCAGATTCCAAACAGCTGCTAGCTGCAGCAGAGTTTTACGGGAAGTTTTTGCAGATATGTTGAGGACACTCATCACTATAATATCAGAACCGTAGAACTGAGAGATGCTCCAACAGTAAACTAAAGGATATGTTTAATTATTTAGACTCTACATGTGGAGGAGCGTTTATATCAGATATTTTAGTAGCATTGAAATGGATGGGCAATGTTAGAAATGAGTGTAAGTGATCATTTAATGTAATCAGCAGATCAATAGTGAACTAATCAGCAACTATTTT